CTTCACTCCACAGTGTAGACACAGATGCGTGGTAAGCATATTGGCTCAGTCCAGACTACCATGCTCAAGTGTTTCTCTGGGAGCTGCTTCTGCCAACTTGAGGATCTCAAGAAGGAAAGCGGAGCACGTTCCTGCCCCGGCTCACGGTTCGCGGAACGGGGACAGGGATTGAGGCATCCTTTCAAAGCTGGCCTTGGGTTCAGCTTCTGAGGCTTTCTAGGAGATGTATAGAGTGTAGAGATTCATTCGGGTTTAGCGCTTCAGGGCTGGATGCTGAGCTGTCAGCTCCCACATACTCTTCAACCTGATGCGGCTCCTCAGGCCGCAGCCCCGAAACCCATCCTGCAGACCCCAGGCATCGACATCGCAAAGGAGGCTGATGAAGAGGGCTCCACAGACAGTGGAAGCCCCAAAGAATGTAGTCTTGCAGGATCAGGAAGCTGCGCATGGTGTCGCTTGCGGTGGTGAATGGCGGGGGAGGGGTGCTACGGCTCCATTCGCCCATTCCCTTCCGTTGGATTGTCAGGCTGTCTGTTGGATTTCAGTGAGTGTCGGCTGCAGGTACTTGGAGTTGTCGGTCCGGGCAGTGGGGAGGTGATCAGGTCATTGCAAAACCGTCTTTGCTGAGCACCTTGATCTCCTTCTGAAAGGCTGAAGCTGGCTTCCAGAATAACAGGCCCAACTCAACAAACTCAGGTTGAACGACTGCCGAAATTCCGAAATACGTAGCGTTTCGATTCATGAAGCCTGACGCAAGCACCCCAACGAAGGCCTTAAAGCCTGCGAATCTCCCAGGGCAAGTGCACATCACGGGTCCGCCGGAGTGCGTGGAGTTTGCGCATTGGCTGCACAAACTTTCGGTTTCAGCCACCATACTAAATTTAGTCGTCAGCACCCCACCTGGAGTTTTCTCCAACATCGCAGAGAATGTCCGCAGACAGTGCCTTCTTGGGCCGGAGTCCAAGGGCTCCCAACATTGTCTATGAATAACTATCTTTCACAAGACCATGGACCGGACGGGAAAATCCCATGTGTGGAAGTAAGAGTTCAGGATGCTAGTACAGAGTACATACGTATCAGTGATATCAGGAGATTCTGATTAATGCTGGTGGTGCAGAGTACGTGAAGGAACATGGAGTAGTCACTGTTGTACCAAAATTGGTTTGCACGATCGGTTACCATAGTTGCAGTCACCCATAAATCCCGAACTGATCACAAAAAGTTGCATGCAGTGGTGAGTGCGGGATTGGGGGGTGAGAGTTGAGGACTGATTCAGGCAAATCCCTTTTACTTGTGTCTGTTCGTTTGTGTATCGACTGATTCTTGCGTTCCTGGTCCAGTTTGTCTATACCAGAACAGGTGACATGTGCGCATGGTTTAAATTTGCTTCGGAGCCGCCGACAATGCCGACAGGTTGATGAATATTGTTCAGTACTTCGACATGTCGAAATATGTATATACAAATACATATATATATATATATATAATGTATATCTGTACGCATCTATGTCTCTGTCTCTGTCTGTGTCTATTTCTCCATGTCTATCTCTATCTCTATCTCTACGTCGTCTAACTAACTGAACGTTGACTGTGACTTCTATGTAACTGCCTCCGCTCACAAATGTGAGAGGAACCTGAGTCCATGCCTCCCTGAGGGAAGCAAGCCTCCCTGCAGCCAGCAGAGGATGGAGCCACGGGTACGCCCATTCAACAATCTTGCTACATTTGGTAGGAATTTGCAGTTAACATACAGTCAACGTTCAGTTAACGTTCAGTTAACGTTACAGTTGACCTTCCAGTTAACGTTGCGAAAATGCTGGCAGGGGCAGCATTTTGGAGTTTTCAAGCAGAAAAAGCAAGAACAACATGTGTTTCTTGCTTCTTATGCTTGAAAACTCCAAAATGCTATCCCTGCCAGCATTTTTGAAACGTTAACTGGAACGTTAACTGTAACGTTAACTGAACGTTAACTGTGACTTCTATGTAACGTTCTGACTGGAAGTATCCGCCAGCCATGTAGGAAAGCCACGAGCAGGCCAAAGCTAGACCCCGCTCTGGGGACTGTGGATGGAGGAAATCTTGCACCGCTTTAAAGATATGTTGTGTAGCTTCACCCCTCGCCCCCTTCTTAACATTGCTATGAACATGGGGTTTTGCAAAATCGTTCCAATGACAGAAATCTTGCACCGCCCCAAGAGATCTGTCGTCAATGTTAAAAAGCAGGCGCGGGATTGTTGCTCGGATGTGTATTCGAAACACTGTGTGTAGGTGGTGCAAGATTTCCTCCATCCACCGTATCTCTACTCCTATCTATGTTTATGTCTCTCTACTTCTATTTCCATCCATGTTTATCTCTATCTGTCTCTATCCCTTGATCTGTATCTGCCTAGCTATCTATCTATATCTGCGTCCTGTTCTTATCCGTCTCTATCGGGTACTATCTATCTTTATCTATGTCTGCCTATATCTGCCTATCTATCTCTCCTCCTATCTTATCCATACACCTCTATCCGTCTGATATTCTGTCTCTATATTTCTGTCTCTATCGTTATCTATGTATATCTGTCTATATCTATCTGAACCCATCTACATCGGTCTATATCTATCTGCCTCTGCCCATGTCTATATCTGTTCATCTACATCTGTCTACATCTGTCCATATCTATCTGTATCTGTCTATATCTATCTATCAATATCTGTCTCAATCTATTTGTATCTATCTTTATGTCGCGATGTCTATCTACATTTGTCTACATCTATCTATGCCTATGTTCTGGTATCCATATCTATGTTTATTGTTTACATTGCATGCATCTGTTCAAAACTGCCTATGTCTATCTGTTGTTATATCTATATCTATCTGTACCGAAAAGATCATTCTATAGCTATATATGTATATACCTATGTCTATCTATACCTTCTTGCTTTTGACTATGTCTGTCGTTCTGTCTTTCAATGTATCAATGTATCCTTTCTGTTTGTCCCTCTACCTATCTATACCGGTCTATCTATCTATCTACCTGCCTACCTAACCTGTCTATGTATCTATCTATCTATATGACTGTCTGTCTGCCTGTCTGCCTATCTATCTAGCTCGTAGGCTAGCTAGCTATCTCTCGGCCTATCGATGTAGTGCACCGTACATGTAGGCTATGCAGCGCAACCTTCCTACCGTCTACACGGAAAGCGAGCGTCGGTAATGAAGCTTCCATGTGCACGGCAACTTGCTCTGAGTACAACGGCAATCAAGATGCAACCAAACGCATATCTATGCGTTGACGCAGCTGCACCTGCTCTGGTCTTGTTTCAATCTTCAATTTGTGTTCCAGGCCCATCCATTGGGACGAGTACACTATCGATTCTTTCTTCGAAAGTCTTTTCGCGTCTTCGTAGCTGTCAGCATATGCATGAATGATCGCAGTGAGCACCCAGGCCAAGAAGATGATCGAGGATATGCTCGGTAAGTCCCGAGAGTCCCGGGAGGGCAAAGACGGACAGAGGCCGACTCGCCGTGTGTCCATGAAGGGTCCAGGGCTTGTGGCTTGGGGGCTCGCAGCGTTCATTTTTGAAGCTTGCAGCCGAATCTGTTTGTTGCCGAAGCGCCTTCCTGATCCACAGTCTTGACCTGCCAGGAAGTCCGGAGGGCGGGTCATCAAGGCCCCCTGCCATTGGCCATCCTTGGCCATCCTTGCTCAACCCGGTTTGGCCCCTGCACTTGAGCGGACGCAGACATAGGAAATTGATATGACTGAGGTTCAGCTTCTGTATCAGGGCATGAGACATTTTCAAGTGAGCATGTGGTTGAGCTGTAGCTTTGAAGCCCGGACTTCCGAAGCGAGCACGGGTTCTTGGACCGAGCGAAGTCTTGCACCCAAGGCCCCAAGGCTGTAAGGCTACAACCCTACAATTTGCCAAACTGCCAGAAACCTCTCTGCAGCCGGACGCAGCCTGTGTGCTTTCAGGGTACACGACAGAGTCTTCAGGGGCCTTTGGGAAGCGAGCAGGGCTTCAAGCCATCTGTCTGTGATGCTCAGCAGGTTCCGACGGACATGATCGGCCCAGTTCCCAGAATGCCACAGTTCTCGAGTGATTCCTGAGTATCAATTCCGAGGTACGGGACCGAATCCTTAATTGTAGTTGGAGGAAAGAAGTTTACCGAAAGAGCTGAGGCAATTAAAGAGATTTGAAAGCACCTTCCCGCCTGCCATTTCTCAGAACTCCAGATGTTGCAACCCAAAAATTAGTCAAGGGTTTGGATGTTCGATTAAAGCGGTCTGTACTCAAGGTGTCCTCATCGGCCGGGGTGGCGAGACGATCTCGAAGATCCAGCGCGAGTCCAGCGCGCGGATCGAGATCCACAAGGCCAAGACACTTCTCCGGCTTTGGGCTTGGAGTCTGATTGTCGGGTTTGCTGTCATGCAGGCAGGTTTCTTCTTGTCAACTAGACGTCGGCAGGATGACCGGGAAGCCCTCGACCGGCAAGTGACCATCACCGGGTCGGCGGACAACATCGAGAAGGCCTGGAGCCATGCACGGTCTGGACAAACCTTCAATCCCGGACCCCTAGCGAAATCCCAAGCTTCAAGGTGCCCAATGGCTGACCATGTAGGACAAAATTACGGTTCAGCAAGGTGTCTCGCCAGGGGGGCGGGGGAAGGTTTCTACGGACATTCTCATGGACCCTTCGGTACATCTCGAGCCCAATGCAGATGAACCCTCAGAGGCCAAACCCTAAGCGAATGCAAGACATCTAACTATCTAGGTCTAGGCCTTTTCTGAGCTCTTTGCCCTTGACTGACATGCAGGCCATCCGGGCCATCGACGACGTCCTCGATGGCGCAGAGAGGGCCGGGAAAGGCTCCCGGCGTGCGGACCCCGGTAAGGAATTTAAGCATGCAGGTGTTAGTTCAAGTTTCCTGGTACGTGTCGCAGTTGTTCGCTTTTACGTTCAGCTCTGTTCCAGTGGAGCTGATCTGGACGATGAGCTGCAACTCTTTTGATTAGTGTTTCAGAACCTGACGTCTGGGTGCGGATTTGTCCATCTCAGTGCCAGCAGTCCTTTACGGCAGGTTGACCTGGTCTCAACATTCGGATTAGGTTGTTTCGTGACGACGAACTGTTTGGAGAGCACTGTGAAAAAGGCCAGCGGGGTCGTACCGAGTTGCTAGTGCCGTCGTGCCTGTGACCAGTCCTAGTCCTAATCCCTAGGCCCTAAGCCCCAAGCTCAATTCGAACTTCGATTTTCGATAACCGTTAAGCCCACGAGCCAATAGCTGCCCTCAATGCCAGGACCCAAGTGCGGAAGACCACAACAAGAATCCTAAGACAAGAGACACCTGAAAAATGTGTTCCAGGACTTGGTGTGGTTTGTGCTGAGCAAGTTTCATGTTTCCGGAGTTCCACGGAAGAGATCTGTTTTCGAGTTGGGTTTTTGCAATACTTCGGACGGTACTGTCCGGAAATTTCTTAAGCCTTAGTCTCACCCGAACTCAGCAGACTCAGCCTCGATGTACTTCGAAGCTCCAGGCCGAAGGGACCACGACTCGCCCAGCCCCCGGCCGGTTCCTGCTTGAGTTTTGGGGCTTCGCGGGATCCTCCACGGGTCGCACGAACGCTTCGAAGACCTTTCCAGGCAACACACAGTAAGCCGCCAGTGTATGTCTTACACCTGGGAGGCTCCCCGAGCCCGGAGCTGGCTAAAGAACCTCTCAGGGGACGCATCGGGAGCGCTTCGTGAAATGCGAACCCTGCCGTGTTGAAAGCGAGTCACAATACTCTCGTCTAAGTGTGCCTCGAATCTTCCAACGCCCGCCAAGGGGGGGAGACGAGGCCTCCTTGCAGGGTTCGGAAAGTTGAGAGTTGAAGGCTTAAGGCGTAAGGTGCCTGCTAGCCCGTCGAGTTTGGCTGTTTGTGTGGTGGATTCTTGATTAGAGGTGAGGGCGGGGGGGGCCTTTGCCCTAGCGTCTTGCGCCGGGAGAGCTTTGATAAGCATCGCGTCGCAGACTGTAACCGTAAGAGAACTTTGGGAACCCGCTCACGACTCTACCTCGGAAGCATCTTCTGATCAAACACGAAGCATGCCGATCGGTCTAGAAGAGCTTGACACCTTCGGGCCCTTCAGGCGTGAATGAGAAATCACATCGCACCTGTTTGTGTTTCAGGGCCAATCGTTCCGCTAGCTCTTAATCGAACTTTCTGTGGCGGTCGGTTGCTTCTGTCAGGTGGCAAACTCACTTGTCATTGGCACTCGCTGACGGTCACACCGAATGCACCGGATCTCTTCATTCATTTCGACCTCCATCGTTATGCTATGCAAAGCCCGTGTGTTATTCAGCCTTTGGGACAGGCACGTAAGCGCTTAGCTCAAACCCGTAACATTGAAGGCTAGGCGCGCACCTCCACACCGGTACACCTGAGCAATCCAAGTCGGAGTAGCTACAGACTTGGGCTCGCAGTTCATATGCTCGAGTTACGGATTTGGGAGCTGAGTCGTCGTGTCCGTAGGGTTTTTCACTAAGACTAGCCTAAACCGAGTTCTTTTTCAATACTCTCAGTCGGTATCCTGGCAGGGAGCACTGGTGCCTTTGGACCGGAAGCCTTCTCCAGTCCGCGACAGTAGCTCCTTGGCGCTCTCCTTTTCAGAAGGTCATGGGGATCACGAACTCTCAAGCATTGGCTGGCCTTAGATGGGGAGATCAAATGTCGAAGCTTCCGTAAGCCCTACAGGCTTATAGATCCTGGCCCCAGTCGTCAACTCCACGCATCCCAGGCTGGCTGTCGGAGAAGGTCTACATCGACGAGGCGGCGTTGCTTCGTTGCTTCCTTGTTCAGAGGTAGAATACTGGCGAACCGCATCACCCCTCAAACGCTTCCAAGAGGCAACCAGGCAGGGCTCGGTTTTAGGAGGCCAGAGTCACGCTGGCCTTCTTGCCTTCAGAACTTGAGTCTTGCAGTCATAGTTCTCCACGAGGTTCAGAAAGTTGGATTTTTCCCGGTGTGTCTAAGCCTTGAGATTCGCGGAGCTGGGTTTTTTGCTATGGACTAGCATCTTCGTGTTGAGCTCCATGAAATTCGAGGCTTGAGGTGCTATGCTTTACGCAGGTTAGAAGCGGCAGCAATCGTGGAGCTGAGGTCGAGATGCCTTACAGGCCGAACTACCTGCCGGACCACGAGGATTCAAGCTTCCGTTGTCAACGCCCTTTAGTTTGCCGTGTGTTTGGAGTTTAGGGCTTAAGGTGATCCCTTGAAGTTCCAGTTTCCCTGCTCGTACTTGGAAATGTGTTTCTGAGCTTCATCCCGGCAATCGACCTCTGGTCCTAGCGCCCAGCGCTGCAAAACAGTGATGCCAGTTCAGACGAGCGCTACAGGTTTGTGTTGTGGCGTTGTCGGCTCATCCAAAAAGTCGAACTTTAACTCTAAATCTTTGGACCTCCGACTTCAGTGCTGAAGACAGACTCATAGGACGGAATGCCCACGGACTTGGAAATCTTCGTCCGGGGCCTTCCCAAGGCTCGCAGTGGGATTCGAGCTTGGGTTTGGCAGAAAGTTGCGAGCCTTGCGAATCCACTTCATTGCTTTGCCTCCGGAAGGTCTGCGCCGAACGAGATCTGTGGGAGCATCTGTACAGGCCGCCCGGGTGTTTTTCACTGACGTATTCGGGACCCCCCGAAGCTCTGGCATCCGTCTAAAGCATTGAGGCCTGTGCTGCCTTGGAAACCTAGCGTTACCTGAAGCAGAATCTTAAAGACGTAGCTCGCCCTGCTGGTCAACTCGTCATTGGTGTTCAGCCTGTTTCAGTTTATTTCGCTTGCGCATGCCAGCGAAGTAAACTGAAACAGGGCGCATTGTTTTTCTCGGTGCGCTCACTCATGCTTGCTCGGAATGTCAGCTCGAGCTTGCCATAGCTCCATGTTGAATCTGAACTTGGTGTCGTCGGGGTTGCAAGCCGTCGGCCTGCATGGCCTCAGGGTTGAGGCCCGAGACTCAGAGCAGTTTAGACCCCCTGCAATGCGGAGCCGAGCTTCTGGGAATGGGGACTAAGCGGCTTGCGGCGCAGGCTTGGAGCGACCGACGTGAAGGACGGTCCAAGCTCGAAGCACCTCCGAAATCCACCCTGAACATGGTGTGCCTCTGCACATGACTTATGCCTGTGCGAAACTTGAGCCGTAGTTGAGCTTCTTGTTCTGAGAAGCGAATTCAGTGTGTTTCATGCTGCATAATGCCCGCGAGCCTGAACAGAGTGCCTCGGTTGTGTGTTTGGAGAGCTTAGGAACAGGAATTCGTGCCAGTGGCATCGCGATCGGTTCTTGCAAGTTGCGGAGCTGTCTTGCAGCCGTCTGGGGTTAGCGTGGCGGTCTGAGGGTAATTTCGGTACCTCGCAGGGTCGCAGAGCATCTAGGTTCTGACTTCAAGTTCCAGGCAAGAAGCGGGCAATCTCCTTTCTGGGATGTTACGATTCTTGGTTTAGACCCCTCTTCAGGTATCAGTCAACCAGTCAACTACTTTAACTTTGAAGAGGGCACCGAAAGCTTCAAGCTTCGCAAGACTTTCAACCCTAGGAGATTTTGCTGCTGCGTCGGCAGAAGCAGTCCAAGGGAATGGCGGTGCGCGCTGAGCTTTCGGAGCATTCGGATGCTTGGGTAAGTGGATTTGAGAGTTGATGTGGGCGGTAGATCTGGCAGGGTTTCGGAAGTCTCGGTTGTTGGGATGGGGGTGACGTGGAGTTGTTCTTTCCTTCAGGGCTCGGTGTCTTGGTCATGTAATCTTCTGTTCAATGTCTCAGCGGCAATGCTTGTTCGAGCATCATGGGGCTCTTGTGCGCCTCGAGTCGAATGTCACTATGCAAGCGCTGCAGCCCTGCAGACTCTGTCAGAGACCTCTGAGATTTGATCCTGTAGAGCTTCAGATGTGACCAGGACAAAAACGATCACATCAACTGGATCTCCTTGCAAAACCACGAAGACCCGAGTTTGATCTCCCGTCTCCCGCCTGCACAGTACGTCGTCTTCAATCGCCACGACCATGCCGTCATCGCCAAAAACAAGCTCCAGGCTGCGACCTTTCTTCAAGTCTTCTAGGACGACCGGGTATGCTTGACAGAAGCCCATGGAAGCCGGCAGAAATCCTGGGAACTTGTGTTGCGTTCCTCCGAGCACGTGGCTTGGATTGCCTCTCGATTTCAAGCATGGCATGTGGGAAAGGAGAGAAGCACTGAGTAGCTCACAAGTGAAGCCTCTTCAGGGCACCCCGGCCTCGTCCATACCTTGCGGTGGCGAAGTTCAGACCGAGGCTGTCTTTGGGGGTCCAACTTTGCTGGAAGCTTTGAGGGCTTTGGACATTCTAGGTGCTGTTCGGGATATAAGCAGGTGGCCTGAGTTGGGTTCAGATCGTCACAATTTCGGCCATGAAGTTCAAGGTTTGGATGGCGCGAGCATTTCAGAAGGAGATGTCCCGTGTGCTTGAAAAACAGCAGCAGCAGAGGCCCTCCTGGCCCTAGTTGCCTGAAGAGCTTGAAGACCGACGGACGACATGCTAAAAAATTGATGACTCAAAACCAGACTCGGATCCGCAAACTCAAGATCAGCAACTTGTGCAGCTGAAACAAGACGTACGACAAGACTTTCGAGACTCAATTTCCATGCGAGTCCAGGAGAAGCAGAGCCTTTTCGTTCGCTTCTCGGAGTCACAGGCTCAGTGTCTTAGCGAGAGGTCCCGAGGGACGTTGGTTCGTGGCGAGGGTGCAAGACAGTGCAAGAGGGCATTCCGCTGGGGTGTGGGGTTCCTTCTAGAGGATGGCACCTTCTTGAGTAACTCGTGCGTGGCAAGCCTTCACCTCATGAGCGCTGTATTCATTAATCCAACCTGGACTTCGAACTTTTTCAGCCCACGCTCAAGCAGTGAAAGGGCATTGAAGAAGTGAGAGCAGTCCCTCAAGTATTCGTCCGATCAGCAAGGCTCAAAGTGGCCTCTGTGTGTGCGCAGACCCGTGTTGAGAATCAGG